GTAGTATTTTTCAGGCATTAGCACAAAGAGCTGTAGGAAACACTTTTCAGAACTCAGCCATCTGCTCCCTTATAGTCTATGGGAGAAGGCAGTCTCTTCAAAATAATTCATTTGCGAAGCATTGTGAAAAGTGTGTGAGTAAATGTGTGAGTGTGTGTGTGTAGCTTTATTTAATAAGAAACAAATATAAACTCACAAAAATTCAGATGATTTTCTAACCATGTGTTATCCAGGTCGCCTACTTTATTTTCTTGATTACGTTTTACAAAATTTTTCAATAATTGAGATGGTATAATGTGGTTTATGGGCTTCCCAGCTGGCGTTAGCAGTAAAGAATCCTCCTGCCAATGCAGAAGACACAAGAGATGTGGGTTTGATCCCTGGGTCAGGAAAATCCTCTGGAGGAGGAAATGGCACCCCACTCCAGTATTCTTGCCTGGAAAATTCCATGGACAGCCTGGCAGACTATAGTCCATGGGGCAATGAATAGTCAGACATGACTGAGTGACTGAGAACACACAATGTGGTTTACACACACATATTTATGTGTACACACACACACATAAACATGTATTTCAGTTAAGGTAAAGTTAGATCAGAGAATCAGTTCAGGTATAAACTGTACTTTCATTTATTCATGTCAAACCATGAAGCCTTCCTTCAAACAATGGAAAACTAGTTTTGTAGTTAAAACTACATGTTTTAACTAGCATGTTCTAGCCTATAACATGCTCATGATTGGGGATACTTGGTGAAAATGCGTTATCTTAAATGGGCACACTGACTCAGTAATGTGAGCTGCTGCCATGAACCCCAGAATTTCAGAAGTTTAACCCAGAAATTTATTTCTTGCTCCCTGTCTTGTCTATTGCAGGTGCTCCTGATCAATGGGTAGCTTTTATCCATAGAGAAAGGCTCAGAGGCCTTGAATCCATTCATTTCACACCTATAGATCCCTTCAGATTTCAGTGTCCTCTCCTCCAAGCAGCCAGGGGGTGGGGGAGATGAAAAAGTCACACTTACCTCTTTATTCTCTTGACTGGGAAGTGGCACTTGTCACTTCCACTGAGACTCTGATGTAGGAAGTAGTCACATGACACCAAGGAGACAGGTGGGTACTGAGCCATGTCTGGCTTGCAGATGCTTCTCAAGCCAATACTGTATTGGCAAGCCCAGATTTCTAGTGGGAAATTAACTATCTCTTCTCTATTCAAATCTGGGCACACTAAGTCCTGACATTATGTCTGAATAACTATCTTAAAGTCTATATTCTGATAGAATGTTATAAGGAACTTGGAACACTGGTCTAGCTTTACCACCTACCAAATGGATAGCATTTGGGTTGTAGCTTTATCACCTATACAATTTTGATTGTTCTGAGAACCAAAAAAAGAAAACCTTTGTGAAATTGTTTTGTAACTTATGTATTGACACATGAACTCTATTTTACAAAGTAAAGCAGAATTGATTTCTCCCAAATCCCATTTCTAACTGATTAGTTGCTCCTAGACCCTGCCTACCTCTGCTGTAACACTCTCCCAACCTAACTTTGTCTGCCCGCTGTTTTAGCCACATGACTTCAATTCCGTGGTTCCTATTCTTTGCATTCTAATTGCCTTATTATCTGGGAAGGAGATGTGGGGAAAATGAGAAGACATGAGGGATCCCCTGTGCCGGCCCATTGAAGAATGTGTCATTTAGCCTCATCACAACTTTGTGAAGTAGGCAATCTTCATTTTGCAAAGGAGAAAACCAAAGTGGGTAAACAGCTCATTCAAGCTCACAAAACGGTCAATGGCAGAAGCAGGATTTAAGTCCTGCTCTGTCTCCTTCTCAAATTTCATTTCCTGCAATGTATTTCGGAGGGTAGCAGGCACCTCCTGTTCTATCATGAGGCTGGTTGTTAGAAGGTCCCTCCCAATCCTGACCCTCTCAAAAAATTACTCAAGGTCTAGATACCAACCTTCAAAGTGGACAGATTATAGTTTTCTGTAAATGTTTAAAATAGACATAAATTGAGGATTAGGTTATGTCCTGATTTCTTCATCCTAAATTTCTGTCTATTTTTGTTACTACCTTGGAAATAGTCAGTTGTCTTTTAATTACTTTCAAAGCATGTTCTTTTATGATTATTACATTTTTGTGCAAGTAATGAAAATTAAATACACTAAAAATGTTCAAAATAAATTATCTTTGTCAGTGGTTTACTAAATAGTATTGGGTAGCAAAAAAAGAAATCTGGTGACTTATTCATGGATAATAGTATTAATCATGTTTTTAGTATGCTTGATATTTGGATAATTAATTCTTTTCTGTAAACTTCAGTGTGAATTTAAAATGTAATAGTTTATCACTGTTTTCAGTCTAAAAATATTCAAAAATATATATTTTATTTTATAGTTTATAAAATCGGTCACTTCCTCTACTTCAAACCCTTTTGGAAAGTGAATAATGGCTTTTTATTGCTCAACAGTAATTGTCATTATTATCCTTTTTCTATAAATCCAGTGCAACTTGACAAGTTATTATTTGTTTATAGATAAATGGTGACAGTTTTTGAAGTTAAGTCAGATATACCAAGAGACTGATCATGTGAACGTCTTTAGTAAAGACTGATAATTCTAAGTATAAACTTTAATGATTTTTTTCTTATAGAAATATTAAAACAATTTGAGAATAAAAATAAAATCAATAGGGTTTCAAGATGCCTCTGTTACTTGTAACAATAAAAAGTAGTTGTGAACTCTATCCTTAACTCATTTCTATTTCCCATCACCTAATAGAGTATTGATGGAGAAGAAAATGGCAACCCACTCCAGTGTTCTTGCCTGGGAAATTACACGGACAGGAGGAGGCTGGTGAAATACAGTCCTTGGGGTCGCAAAGGAGTCGGACATGACTGAAATGCTAAACAATAGAGCATTGAACAGATGGTGGTCACTGAGTAAGAACTTGCAGAATGAGTGACTTTCTCAGGAGTAGCTTGCTTGATTCTATCTACTAAAGACTCCACATCAGAATTTTTGTCTCACTTAGGTTGTCTGTAACTTGAACTGTGACATTATGAGAAGAGAAGTAAGTCTTAAAAATTCAAAACTAAATTATTCTTTTTAAAAATTGCCTCTGTAAATCCAAAGATTTAAATGAGTAAGTGCCTACTGCTTTTTAGAATACACTAACCCTTGTGGAAAACACTTCAACCAGTGATCTGAGTTGTTGCTGAAGTGCTGCCATCTGCATCCCCATCGTAGAGACCATACTCTGATGAAGGCAGCATAAGCCTCTGCTCCCCTTTGTGCTACAGGATGCTACCTTGGGGCTTGAAAACCTCTTTGACTTCTGGAGGATGAGTACAGGTACACTTTGTACATACTTGAGTCCTTTAGGAAGGACAGAGATAAGCACAGGGGAATGACTGTCGTTGCCCACGTCTGGCAGTAATGTGGCTACTACAAGTGCACAATTTTATGCTGAGGTCTTCAGGTTTAATATGACAGTCCTAGTTCCTTTCCTTGGACAAGAATTCAGGTACTGTCCCAACCCCATGCCAAGTCTTTTTCATTACTCTTTTTTAAAAAATTAATTAATTAATTTTAATTGGAGGCGAATTATTTTACAATATTGTAGTGGTTTTGCCATACATTGACATGAATCAGCCATGGATGTACATTGTGTTCCCCATCCTGAACCCCCCTCCCACCTTCCTCCCCATCCCATCCTTTACAGTCTTCCCAGTGCACCAGCCCTGAGCACCCTGCCTCATGCATCAAACCTGGACTGGTGATCTGTTCCACGTATGTTAATATATATGTTTAATTTCATCCTTACTAAGGTAATCATACTTCTTAGTTTGCCTAGGACAGTCCCAGTTTATGCTTTGGCCCAGGTGTAATTACTGATGGTGCCTCTTTCCACTTTTCAATTCTCACTCAGTTTAGATGACAAACTAGCACAAATTGAACACTACCCTCAGGGGTTATTTTTGACTAACTACTGTCTGGTTTAAGTTTAATTTGCAGCATAAGATATACAGAATTCTTCCTCTTTTTCCTTTTCCTCTTCCCACTGCCACAAATACACTCAATTTAAAACTTTTACCTGTAATTACTCTGTTTCGCTCTAATCCCTGAGAGTACTTCCTAGCAACAGTAATCAGTGAAACTATTAAGCGACTTTATGAAGCTCTAACATATATATTCCCACTAGGTGTTTAGAAGTCAAGGACTGGCATTTAATAAAATGTCTGCAAAGACAAATAAAATTTTGCAAAGGCTAAGTTGTAAGTGATGGTGACAGATGCACTAGCCTGATTATGTTAAATGCATTTATGGAAAAGTAGGATAATGATTGTTTTAAATGTTCTATAATAATTCAAGCACAGTGTAGAATGTTCAGGCTATATTTTATAGCCTTTTTGTCTCTGTGTCTGTCTCTCTCCCCTTCTCCCTGTCTCTCTCATCTATCTATTATTCATTATCTATCTGTCTGTCATCTATCTATCCTATCTACAAGACTTTAAGTAGGGCCAACCTTCTGCAAAAATAGATAGCAATATTGGTTTTCAACACCTATGTTGTTCAAGAGGGATGTTAGTTGCTCAGTCATGTCTGACTCTTTGCAACCCCATAGATTGTAGCCCACCAGCCTCCTCTGTCTCTGTGATTCTCCAGGAAAGAATACTGGAGTGGGTTGCCATTCCCTTCTCCAAGAGATCTTCCTAACCCAGGGATAGAACCTGGGTCTCCTGCTTTGCAGGCAGATTCCAGTGATTATAATATATCCACCTTTGAAGTCACATGAATTTCAACAGAGCACCCTTTGACAGAAAGCCTTAACCTAAATGAAATGGGTCAATTGAAGGAAAATGAAGGATTGCGGAAGTCAAGTGTGCAAAGAATAAAGGGCACTTCGGTGATCTTATAATCACGCCAGAGACAGGTAGTTTCTTGTGTCACCCATTTAGATTGTCCCTAACTCTCAAGATTACACAGCTCCATAACTGCACTTAGTTTGGTTTTATTGAGCAAACTTATGTTGAGAAATTTTTTTTAAAATCACTGGCCCTGAAGCACATCTTCTTCAAGTCCCAGTTTCCTGTTAGTGAACAAGTTTTCACTGAAGCATACAATTTCTTCACACCTTTTCATAGACACCAGTGCTGACAACATTATTCATGATATATTCCTAAAAGCAAAGAGGGATCTATTAGAGTTGGTACATGATACGTTTGCTTTGTCCCTCTTTCCCCAGACTGCCTACTCGGGCCGTAAGACAATTGAATGATTTGAAAGGCATGCGTCAAATAGTAGCATCAAAAAATTTTAAATTTAGAGAAAACTCACCACTACCATTTTTCCATCTACAATTTTTCTTTTGATCGTTGTCTCTTTACCAAGCCATTTTTGAACATGAATCATTGAGCCACCACCTAGTGTTATGATGCTCTATAAATGTAGAAAGGAATCAGTCAGAGATAGCAATTCACAACATCCTGATGACACAAGACTAGATATCTGTTTTTTAATTTCCATTTTGAAATTCTTTTCTCCAAAATTCTTACATCAGTTCTTGTCCTAATTTAATACCATCAAACCAGGGAAGTCTCAAGAGATTATTCAAGTGATGCTCTTTTCCCCCAGGTAAGCAATACCTAAACTATTTGTGAATGGTTGTTCCATATTCTGTGTTATAAAATGACAAAGAAAGGGCTTCTCTGATGGTTCAGTGGTAAAGATTCCACCTGCCAATGCAGGAGACAAGGGTTCAACCCCTGATCTGGGAAGATCCTACCTGGCGCTGGACAGCTAAACCCGTGCACCACAACTATTGAACCTGTGCTCTAGAACCCGGGGAGCCACAACTACTGAAGCCCAAGCCCTAGAGCCCCAGAGTCTGGGCTCCGCAACAGGAGAAGCCACTGCAACAGAAGCCTGTCCACCACAACTAGTGAGTAGCCCCCACTGACCGCAACCAGAGAAAAGCCCATGTAGCAACAAAGACCCAGGACAGCCAGTAAATAAATAAATAAAATGAAAAACAAACAAAAAATGACAGAGAGATCAGAGAAGCAGTGAAAACACGTTGAGGTTTTGAGCCCTAAATCATCTGCAAAAGAATTGACTTTAGAGATGTGCACTATTAATTAACAAAATAAACTCAAACTGGCTGGGTGAATTAGAACAAACTATGCCTAACTGCCTTCTAGATTTTTCCTGATTATGAAGCAGGAAGATTTAGTTCTTACCTTCACTTTCCGGTTATCTATGGTGGTTTCATCAAATTCTTCCCCCAACTTGAAGGAGATCTCAGAATTCTTGAAAGAACTTTCAGTTCTGATGGTAACCTTATCCCCGTCAGCACTAATAACGATTCTTGGCTTTGCTGATCCTGCGAGGTTCTGGACTGCAACACTCACTCCTGTAGGAATGAGTGAGAAGAAGACTCAATGCGTAGAGGAAACAACATGGTTTCTTAAGAAGTTTAGGAAGAAGTGCTAGCAATCATTTTGGAAAGCAATTCAAAAAGAACACATCCTCTCCCCATTGACATTTTGGATAGTATGCCATATTTTCTTTAGTGTTCTCTGTATTAGCTGGTTGAGCCAAACCTCCCAATCAGAATATATGCCTAGTAATTATACTTGACATTTTAAAAGCTAAGTTCACTTTCTGAGACCATTGTGCTTCGTCTAAAATCCCTGAGACTCTTATACTTCATCTAAAATCTATATTTGTATGGTGCCTTTCAATTGTATGCTGGAGCTTTGCCTCATGAAGTGTTTCAACAACAGTATTTCAACAGCAGGGGGTATTATTACCCCTCATTTTAGAGATGACTATACTGACTCCCAGAGGGGTAGAGAGGTTTATTCTAGATGATGTGCTTGGTAATTAGCAGAATTGAAATTTAAACACAGGTTTTCTAATTGTCCATAAATTTTAGCATGGCTTTTTTCCCCTTAACAAACAAACAAACAAAAAACCTTTCAAAGTATCTAACCTATTCTAAAAGAATATGACTTGCAAAAAATAAAAAATAAAAGAATATGACTTATAAAGTTCAGGCTTCTCTTATTTGCAGGTACAATTCAGATCTGGCTGAATAAAGAGGAGGTAGGCAAATTAGACAATTTGGCTGAGAGCCTGGCACTGCTAGTCACATTGGTAATTGTCTGTTGCTGAACTTGTCTCCTGCAATAGTTGAGCAGAAGGGCCGACTCCCATCCCATAATACTGATATAGAAATCGATTTCACACTCATACTATGGGCAGATGGGAAGCCTCTGACTACATAAAAGCAGAAAAACTTTATATGTAGTTTTTTTTATTAAAAGGGAGGTTTTTCTTATATGTTTAAAATTGCTTAATTAAATGTTAAAAAATTACTATTCTTCTAGCATTAGTAAAGAATAGTTTAGTTATTATTAGTTATCTGAGCCATTGTAAATGATATTCATTTCAACTGGAATAAGAGCTAAAGTATCCTGAACTTACAATTCTGAGAGATGTCCAATGGTGGGAAATTCCATGAGTAAAAATATTCTATTTCTATGTGTTCTATTTCAATAAAACATTTGAAACTCTTCAAAATAATGTTTTAAAAATCTCCCAAGTGTATCAGAACTCTAAAAATTAACCCACTAGAAATTTTGCTTGTTGCTATTGCTCTTTTGAAGTTGTAACTTAAACCTTGAAATGAATTTAGTTAATAAATTTAATTATAGATAGGTGTATATATATCTATAATGTGGAGCTGGGAAAAGCTATTTAATGAAATTAACAAGATAAAAAGAAACTCTATCATGAGGGTAGGATGAAGTATTTTCAAAAAGGATATATGGTCTAAATATATAGATAATAATTATAAGGAAGTATCTGTGAGCCTAGTTTTGCAAATAGAGATAATTATTACTAGTAATAAAGAGTAAATGTAGATACATAAACCTTGTTAACCCCATGAATATACTCTAGGATCCCAAATGAACAAGAGAATTGTAGGAAAATTCATTGTAAAGTGCAAACCCAACCACATCGCAAAAAGAATTGCCAGTTTCCAAATCTTGTAAAGCTATTTCTCACCCAGCTCTTTCATATATTCATCAAAGTTTTCAATGGAGACCAGTTTCCAGGTTCCCAAGAAGGGCTCAATCATGATGGAAAGCTTGCAGAGAAGAGGTACTCACAACCAAAAGCCAAAGAAACTTAAGCAACACACTGCTACCAGAATCTTAATTTAAAAGACATCTTCATCATGTGACTCTTCTAAAATGGCCAATGGGGAGCAGCAAGACTAAAGATTCTAGGCACCAGTGTTGACTCATTTTATTTACTTTCAAATAAAGACACAGAAAATTAACATGTTAAGTTGAATTTAAGTCAATGATTATAGCTTCCAATAAACAGATTGGTAACCTCAGAGTCATCTGATAAATATTGTGGAATGGAGACAATTTTCAACAGAGATCAGCATTTTGAACTATGAATGCTGAGTCAACTCTGAAGGAATAACCCAACAAATGTCTAATGAACACCTGACTGAGATATTTTCCTACCTGATACAGGGACATCCTTGTTTTCTCTACCTCAGCTGCTTTTTATCTGGACAAGTCACAGTGACAGAGTACTCTCTTAATTATAAGAATATGCGTCCCTCCCTTCCTTGCAGGGCTGATGAATTTGATATTACTTAATGTAACTGAAATGTCTACAGTTGATTGGAGTGAGGCGTAAGGTATCATTGCTGTTAATTAAGAGTAATTGCAGAGTGGGAAGAAAACTAGCAATTATCATTGATGGTGTTTTATAGTTTAAGCTCTAAAAATGAGGGGAAGCTAATGCTAAAATTCATCTCTTAGGATAACAAAGAAATCTTGATATTAAAAAAAGTAATTAAAATATTAATCTTGATAATAAATATCAAAATATCTTGATGTGAAAATAAGATTAATTAAAATTTTAATTTTGATAATTAATATCAAGAAATATTAATATTGAAGTTATGAACAGAAGTTTTAGATAGAAATATGGTATTTTGATATCTTCATTCTAAAAGAAAGACGAAGGCAGGAAGTAATTTAAATATCTGGGCCATTACTTCTAAAATCATCTTCTGTAACCCAAGCAATGGAAGTGAACTTTGCAGGTAAGGCCTTTACTGGGAAGGATTGGATTCTGAGGTTGTAGATTTACATGACAGCTTTGAACTCCAGTTGTTTTAAAGAAGGTTGGAAAATTAAAATGAAGAACAATATTTATACTATCGTCTGCCTGGGTCAAAATATTCCTTCAAGTCAAAGAAATCTGCATTCAGACCATCTATTTGCGGGGAAATTAAAAAAAAAAAAGCAGATGTTTTGGCACCACAAAGTTAAATCTCAAGTGATATAAAGAATTAATTTTGATGGAAACATATAAAAAATTATTTATAATACAATATAGGGGAAATAGTTAAAATATCTGGGAGGCAAAACAAGGAAAGAAAAAACCTTAGAGTCAGTTTTAGGGAACTGAGACCTGGACTGAGCATAAGGGCCTTAGCAGTTGAAAGCACACTCAGAGGTGATGCTCAAGTAAAGAGCAAGTAACTTGATCTTGCTTTACTGGTACTGGATTTGTATGTACTCATCCTGAAACATGGCAGGCATACAAGTCTGTGCATGTTTGCTGGTAGGGTAGCATAATCAAGGTCTCCCCTTAGTCTAACCAGTTTTGTTCCAAGTATTCTACCATTGATTGATTCAGAAATCAATCCTGTGGCCCATGAGGCAAAAGAGAAAGCTAAATTTCTGCCTTTTATAAAATTCGTCACCCTTAAGAGAGTACCAGAGGGACTGTCCCCTCCTTGCAACTTTTGCTCTCTTGTATGATATTTACGGACTTTACAGCTGATGTTAGTGGTAAAGAACTTGCCTGCCAATTCAGGAGATGCAAGAGACACATGTTTGATCCCTGGGTCAGGAAGAAACCCTGAAGAAAGGCATGGCAACCCACTCCAGTAATCTGGCCTGGAGAATCCCATGAACAGAGGAGCCTGGTAGGCTGCAGTCTATAGGGTCACAAAGAGCTGGACATAACTCAAGCGACTTAGCACAACACACACACACACACACACACACATACACACACACGATATTTAGAACTGTTGTATCCATTGTGTTACCAACTCAAAAATGAGGCCAAAACTGAGAATGGGGGAGACGAAAAGGAGGAAGAACGCAAGACCACTTTGTTTCTGGAACCTTAATAAGGAGAATTGATGAATTCCATTATTATTTAAAAAATGTTGTGTCTTGAGTTTTTGTTCCTTGCTGTTTAAACCTTCATAACTGATATGCCTTTGTAAATAGCTCCACCTAAATTTGGACTTTGAAAACCAATTCCAGGACTTCCCTGGTGGTCCAGTGGTTAAGTTTCTGTGTTTCCAATGCGGGGAGTGCAGGTTTGATTCCTGAACAGGGAATTAGATTCCATATGCCATTCGGTGTGGCAAAAAAAAAATATTAAAAGAAAATCCTATGAATCATGTGATATTGGCCTCATGCACAGCATCTCCCAGGTCTCCAGATCCAACAAAATCACGTCCTTTGTGAAACTGGTTCCAAGCTGGCTGATATGATTATACCTTAATAGAAGTATATTTTGGAACTCTTCTCACAGTATTGCATTGAGTCCTTCTCCAGCTGTCCCCTGAGCTCTTTCATGAGTACATCAAGTAAAGAAAATATTTATGATTCACTTCTGAATCCTTGAGAAGCAGTGCCCAGTATATTGTAGTGCCTGGTATATTGTAGGTGCTCAATAAATGTTTTATGAATGAATGACAAGAGGAATAAAATGTTTATTTTGTTTTAACTGACAGTTTCCCTCATCACGGATATTAATCTAACAAGTAAAGACAAAGATTTTTTAAATTAAAAAAAATTTATTGTGGTGAAAGCCACATAAGACATACTATTTTAATCATATTTAGCTGTACAGTTCAGCGGCATTAGGTACTTTCACATTGCTGTGCAGTTCTCACCATTATCCATCTTCTGAAATTTTCCTCACTTTCCTAACATGAAACTCTGTCCTCACTAAACAATAACTCCTCACCCCCATCTCCACCTCCTCCACCCACTGGGTCCCTGGCATCTACCAATGTAATTTCAATTTGACTATTCTAGGTACCCCATATTAGTGGAATCAAATTGTATTTAAGACAGAGTTTTAATACATTGCCCTGTCCTGACCTGCTTGTATAACAGGCCTTTCATTATGGTCATCAGACAGCACAGGGATTCTCAGACTCCTTTCATCTTTGCTCAGTGTTTCATTTACCTTCTCAACCAAGAAAGTTCTCTTCTAGCCCTGCCACTATCACTACTAGCTTTGGCATCTTTGCTTGATTATTTTTTTTTAAAAAAACACCATTTCAGATTTTCATGGTGGTACAGTGGATAAGAATTTTGCCTGCCAATGCAGGGGACATAGGTTCGATCCTTGGTCCAGGAAAACTCCACATGCCAAGAAGCAACTAAGCCTGTTTGCTGAACTACTGAAGCCCGTGGTCTAGAGCCCATGCTCCGCAAGAGAAGCCACTGTGATGAGAAGCCCACACAGCAAAACAAAAAGGAGACTCCACGAGCTGCAACTACAGAAAGATGGAGCGCAGAGACAAAGACCCGGTGCAGCCATAAACAAACAAATGTTTTTTTAAAATTATCATTCCCTCCAGTAAAAAAAAAATTTAATTAAAATGTTCTTAATTGTTAATCCCAACAAAGGAACTAGAATACAGTACTCTGTTATAGAAGAGTTACATATTTTATTTTCATGACAGTTTAAATACTTATTTCTCCATGATCTCATTTTTCCATGCTTTTCCAGTATCTCATTTTCTATATTAAGTTTCTTTCTTGAGACTGTTTAGCTATTAAACACTTTTAAAATAGATTGTAATTTTGAGATGTTACATTCTCCATTCGTGAAGGATACTGATACATTTAAATATGTACTAAAAGCTACAAAGGTCCATCTAGTCGAGGCTATGGTTTTCCCAGTAGTCATGTATGGATGTAAGAGTTGGACTGTGAAGAAAACTGAGAGCCAAAGAATTGATGCTTTTGAACTGTGGTGTTGGAGAAGACTCTTGAGAGTCCCTTCGACTGCAAGGAGATCCAATCAGTCCATCCTAAAGGAGATCAGTCCTGGGTGTTCATTGGAAGGACTGATGTTGAAGCTGAAACTCCAATACTTTGGCCACTTGATGTTCCAATGAGTTGACTCATTGGAAAAGACCCTATGCTGAGAGGGATTGGGGGCAGGAGGAGAAGGGGACGACAGAGGATGAGGTGGATGGATGGCATCACCGACTTGATGGACATGAGTTTGGATAAACTCCTGGAGTTGGTGATGGACAGGGAGGCCTGGCGTGCTGTGATTCATGGGGTCGCAAAGAGTCGGACACGACTGAGCAACTGAACTGAACTGAACTGAAAAGCTACAAAATGATTCAGCAGTACATCTGCTACTTTATTGCTGTACATAAAATAGCTGGAGCTACACTAGATTTTTTTTTCTAATTTTTTTATTGTCATAGAATAGACATAACACAGAATTAACTGTCTTTAACGATTTCTAAGTGCATGCTTCAGTGGCATTCACATTGTTGTGCAACCATCACCACCATCCATCTCTAGAAACGTTATCTTACAAAGCTGAAACTCTACCCATTAAATAGTAGTTCTCCACTCTCCACTCCCCTGCCTCCTGGTAACCATTCTACTTTCTGCCTCCATGACTTTTACTACTGTAAGTACCTTGTATAAGTAGAATCATGCAGTGTTTGTTTTTGTGTGTATGTGACCAGCTTAGTTTGCTTAGCCCAATGTCCTCAAGGTTTACCCATGTTGGAGGAAATCTCAGAATTTTCTTCCTTTCTATCTAACACAATGGTATTATGTTGGGTAAAGCAAAATGTGTTATTTATATTTTGCTTACACATTCATCCTTTGATGGACATTTGGATTGCCTCTACATTTTAGCAATAGATGAAAAATGTTGCTATGAACATTCATTGTTGTTTAGCTGTTATGTCATGTCCAACACTTTGTGATCCCAAGAACTGTATCTCGCCAGGCTTCTCTGTCCATCACTATCTCATGGAGTTTGCTCAAATTCACGTCCATTGAATCGGTGATGCTATCTAAC